GAAAGCTCGTGCATACTTAGTTTTTTCTACCGAGCTCGGCTGTGCTAATCACGGCAAAAGTAATTTTCACTGAGATATCAGCAAAAGTGACATTTGATTGCTGAGTCTCGGATAATGCTTAGCTGAATCTAAGCAAACAAATTAAATGTTTGCTGAGATCCCAGTAAAACTTTGTTTGCCGAGATTTGCACAGCCGAGCTCGGTAGAAAAAACTAAGTGTGTAGATCTTCTGAGAATTATGAAGGACTTTATGGAAGTCAGTATCTCTAGACAAATTTGCAGAAGTTCGTGAATCTTAGAAAACATTAAAGAACTGCAGGAAAATCCGTAGACCTTTTGATAAATTTGCATCACTTCACTTCTGGAAAGTTCATATGCTAGAAAGCTCGTCGATCTTCTGAAATGTTTTAAGAACCCCAAGGAAGTCCATAGATACTCAGAGAAATCTAAGAACTTCAGAAAAATTCGTAGAACTAAAAAAATATTCAAATACATCAGGGATAGTCCGTGAATCTCTGGAGAATTTTGAAGAACTCAGGGAAGTCCGAGAATTTTCAGAGAAAAATTTGAAGAGTTTCAGGGAAGTTTTGAGAGCTTTACAGACATTTTCAGAACTTCAAGAATATCGCAGATCTCCAGAGAAACATGACTGGAATTATATAAATATGGGTGTCAAACTTCAAGATTTTGCAAGCCAATGCCAATGGTAGATTTGTTATGACCACAGCTTGTCCAGATTACACTGGAGCAGGTTCTGGGTGCCCCGTGGGAAGTGGTCAATTACGAGCGTGACCGATACCATGTTAATATGGATGTCAAACTATAAGATTTTACAAGCCAACACCAGTGGCAGTTTTATCAGGCACATAACTAATAAGGCTGCTCTGTAGCAGGTTCTGGATGCCCCTAGGAAAGTGGCCAATTTGGAAAATTACCGGAACCATATCAACATGGGTGTCAAACTTCAACATTTTGCAAGCCAATGGCAATGGAACTTTTTTCATGTCCACAGATTGCCATGGTTAACCTGGAGCAGGTTCTGGATGCCCCGTGGAAGTGTCCAATTTTAGACATGACCGGAACCATATCAATATGGGTGTCCAACTTCAAGATTTTGCAAGTCAATGCCAATGGTAGCTTTTTCAAGTGCACAGCTTGCCCTGGTTTCCTTGGAACAGATTTTGAGTTCCCCGGAGGATGTGGCCAATTTGGTGGCACTTTGTACGTATGCAGTCCCTCCCCAGTTCAACTTTTTGGCCACATCCCGCTTAAAAGCTTTCACGACACGCTTGTGATCCTGATCAGTAATATTTAGAACATCCATTCTGACCACATTTCTCCTTCCGTTCGATGCTCAGAGTTACGTTTAATCACACGACTGCACGATTCCGAGTTGTTTTCCGATGTACCGATGAGAGAGTTGAGGATTTTCCAGGTGCTTGCGTAAAATCAATTCGTGACGATGCTTTTCGGATGACACCATTTTTTCCAACTTTTGAAAAACTGTCAGCGATAAAAATACAGTATTAACAATACACTCTAAGCTGCTTCTACCCAAATTTTCAAGAGAAATTGCAATTGATGTGGGACACCCTTTATCATTCCATGGAAGAAATATCAAGGTTTTTAAACTTAGACTTTTTTGATCAGGGACTGAACATGGAACATTTTTCTATAATCTGGATATTTTTAAAGTTTGTTGTAATCCTAGGATTGAACAGAATTAAGATTTGTATTTACGCTCATTTTTTTCGAAATCCATTTTAAGGATTCTGAAGCATTTTTATGGTTTTATAATAATTGAAAAAAAAATCACCACTTCAAACCACTGCGATAATTTGGACCTTTAACCATTGCGTGCCTAACGTCTTAATTTTCATAGATTTCATAATTCAATTAGCTCTAAAAACACCACTTTTCAATCTTTCTCTGCAAAACAAACGGGATTTTGTTGGGAATCTATTAAAGTTTTTAAAACAGTCAGAAAAAAAATGGGCCAATACATGGTTCTGAAGTTATTTCGCTTCCCGTTGGGTCACTCTGGGTCGGCATTCGGCTGTACTGTTCTGTTATAATCATACGCACGGTGAACATAATATTTTCTCACTCAAATGATGCAAATGGACCATTCACCGGTGACCCATGATTACGATCTAACTATGAAAATTATGGACCACGGGGGAAAAAGTACATGATGCTAAAATCAAAAAAAATAAAACCTTTAAATTTGTGTTTTTTAAGCAATTGAAGCAATAAAGAATTCAGATTTTGTAATTAAGAATTCTTGGAAATGAGTCTTGATTCCGATCACACTGCAAACAATAAATTTGAATATTACATCCAAGAGGATGCACTTCAATCATGTCGAAAATCTCATGTAATTTTTATGACCACAAAAATAAACAAATGCAGTAAAAGCAGTGTAGTGTCAGTTCATGCACTGTATTAATGATAATTTTGTCCTTTTTGGCAAGTAATATAAGACCATATTTTTGACACGATTGAAGTGCATCCACTTTGATGAGATATATAAAAAAAATCTTTATTAGAATGACTTTCAGCCACTGACTGGTTCGTCACTTATATCAAAATTAATGTTTTGCTGTGCACAGACATTTTATTCACGATTATGGCCTTCATTATTCTTCTCTAGAACATTGCAAAATTTTCGGAGACATCAACTTTTCATCTAAATTTAGAACTTTATAAGTCCCATTATACAGCAATCCCTGGCCAATGAGCCAAAAAATAATTGAATTTTAGATTCAACCATCTTAAATGTGTATGAAAGTTTACATAATTATTTGAAATCGACATTGATTCTCATTTGTGCTTGAATTCCGTCATTTTGAATTTTACTAAAATTTTAAAAATGGCTTATTAGATATTTTTCAATAAATCATAGCACGGAAGTTTGATGTCCAATCGAAATGAGGTCTTAAATAAAGATGTAGGAAGAAACAAAGCCTTTCTAAGAAAAAATCACGGTTATTGATACTAGTAATGAATATCAATTCTTTATTTGGCGTGGAACTGCTTATCACAGCCAATTGTTTTATAGCAGCGGCATTGTGAATTAAAATAGGCTACTTACATTCATCAAAATGATTTCTTCTTAAACCTAGAATAGATAAGTAGTTATTGTTAAAGAGTACAGCTAGTTCAGTGTTAGATGCTCTCTAAACCTCACATATCAAGATTGCAGCATTAAAATGAACACAGTGTAATAGATAAAGACATTATAACTCTGATGTTTGCTATAACAAACATCTAGGCGCACAAATATACCGAAGCCCTTACCCATTCAAATCCCAAGCAAAGCTCCATTTGTCACAACCAAATGATTTGAAGGAAGGTATCTCAGTCTCACAGGCAGGGTTACTTCCCCTCACTTGCTCACAAACATGTCCGAATTATGAAAACATTAGATGTTATAGTGATTATAAGTACTTGTAAGCTACAAGAAGGCGTCGTGAAGAATGTATTTGATACATAAAACCTGTCAATATTACTTTCAGTGCGTCACAATCAGCGATTGAACGATTTGTGAGCGCTCACTCTGAGTGAACGCTCGCGAATCATAAGATCGCTGATTGTGACGCTCTGAAAGCGAAATTGACAGGTTTTATGAGTCAAACACATACTTCACGGCCTCTTCTTGTAACTTACAAGTTCTAATTATCACTATAACATCTAATGTTTTCATAATTCGGAAAAACAATTTTTTATAGCAAGTGAGTGGAAGTAACCCTGCTCACAGGTAAGCAAAAAAAACGATGAATCTTTAATTCGCTTTACTTTGTCGCAAACAGGCGAGATTACCATCCATATTTCAACCATAAGGCTGCTCTCTTTTGTTCGGTATACGTTCCGTGTTATTGCACTGATAGCACTGAGATGGAACGTGTGAAACCATGACGTATCAAACGACTCCCTATTCATTCGGAACTTGATTAGTTTGCCTCAGCCTTTCTTTAGCTGTCTCGTTGACTGCAAACGTTTCCTTTCAACAACCTTCATGTATGTACCTATATCCGCTTAATATACTGTCTGACTGAGGCGAGGAAAAATATCATCACTTGTGAAAGGCAAGCACATATACATCGTTATATATTAAGAATATGTTTCCGGTGTATGTACCGTTTCGTAGAACGGCGAGAAAAACAGGTGATATGACAGGTGAGATGATAGGGCATAAATAATTGAACGTCTTATTGCCATATAAGGGATTTTTGTCAGACGTTGAGTTTGTTTTATAAGGGTTATAATCTGCTTATGCACCATTTGAGTTCCTTGAATTTGAATCCGGGAAATATTATGGCTGAGTAAGTAACTTTTTTACAGCTATTTAACTTTAATGTCCCATAAAAGTATCCAGATAAAATGCCAGAACGAAACTGTTTCATTTCATTCAAGCTGAATCTTCAAAATGCAAATTTATGGCAAACAATGCACATCGTACCCACTTAAACACTCACCGTTTGCAGAGCACAGGTGCAATGCTCTTTCATTAAATTTTACCGCATCTGCATTGAACTTCAACGAGCTGGAATTGAATTAATTGAGATTCGCGCTTGAAAACACATTCGAAAACCGATGCTACCGGATGTGGGTATTGTTGCATCCAGCGAGTTTCAGTTCTCATTTTGTGATGGCACTTAATCAGATTGCGACATTTAATGCCTGTGGGTTTTTGCAATTGAGTCGAACTTCTCGCCTCCGGCTGAATTACGAATGTTGCACACCATTGTAGGAAGGTGCAGGCGAAACTATTTAGAATTTCCATCTCAATTTGCATCGACTGCCGCCCCATGTTCGGAAGCAAATGGTGCGGATGGACGTGGTTAAACTTTCCCCATTCAACAAGCCACTCTGATTGGAATATTTATGAACGATCGAGTGCTTTCTGATTTTGGTTGCTTCTATCTACATCAATTTTGATACGGTTAGACGTATACCGTAGCTCTAATACCGAGTTTTCGTTTTGCTTTTTTTTACAGGTTCTGACCCAACAGCAGGTGGACATTGGGTGCAGGCCGGCGACGTGGACTTTGGGAAAAATTTCCGTTCGGTTTTCATTTCCGGGGGTGAGTGATTGGGGGTGATTCGCATGACACGCGTCCGGCAGCGCCACCATCGGTACCATAGGAAAGTGAACAGTTCAAATTCGACACGTGACTGTGTGGGCTATGCATGTCCGCGGAGGTTCACAATGGCAGAGTCGAAGAAAACCCTCCCTCGGGCCGTTACGGCGAGCCCATCCCGCATCCGGAGCAACATGGAACGTGCAGGTCGTACGGGGCAAGATGACGTCACGATGCCTTTGGCATGCTTGCCGGGCGCTGGTCCTTGGCATCGTACTCATGCTGGTCGGCGGCGGAATGGCCACTGTCGGTAAGTTTTTGCTGTGGTACTTTATTTAGTTCATTAACCTTCGCCCTTGCTATTCCTGACTTGAGCGAATAAAACATCCAGATGGACCAATATTCTTCAAAGATGCCAATATAGATAATGCTATAAGCCACCAAAAGATCCTTCTAAGAGCAGAGCATCTCAGGAATAATAAATATTTCAAATCTGGTTCTCTTTCGTCATTTTTCTTGGACTGGCAGAGTGCCAATCTCGCAGGCAGCCAATGGTACCTAGTTGTAATTTTGGTCTCTTTCATTTTATTTGTATTTGCACTTCCCAGGGTACTACGCCAACAACTTTCCATCACTGTCCGACGTTAAGAGCAACAGCACTTCGACGATTCGTGTAAAGAACGAGCATCGAGGCTTACATCTGAACAACTTGTCCTACGTCGGACCCATCATCATGGGAGTCGGGGGTAAGTTCCTCGCTTGCTTTGATGTTTATATATATATATAGGTGCTTCAGTTATGTTAGTCGTGTGGTTCGGAAATTTGAAATGAAAATATCTTCGGTGGGATGTGGATACGTGTTTTCTCCATGGTTGTCCATCTTTACGATTGATGACCTAATGAAACTATTTACTAGGTGAAATAGAACAGGATTAATGTATGATATTTCAAGAATGAAGACGGGAGAAGATTGCCAGGATTGTGGCAGCACAGTCTAGTTTGGACTATATTACCACGGTCCATATCATCCTTGAAAAAGAACGGTATCGTACACAGAAAAAAAAAAACAAAACTGAATTTTACCTATCGCGTAAAATCTCCCCTCGTTTCATTTAGATCTACAGTTGGCATAAACAACGAAATAATTTACAAGCTTGTATACAATAATGTTAAATTAAGCAATATTGCACTCAAATTTTCACCAAATATCGTGTACATTTATGCCAAATCTAGCGTTTATTATATGTGCGCTATATCTCGCAGAAATTTACATGAATTTTTCAAACGGTGTAGTAGCAGTTGACTTGGGGCCTCATAGCCTAGTCAGTAAAGGCACGGTATTACCGAGCCGGAGGCGGCGGGTTCGATTCCCGGTCCGGTCGAGGGAATCTTTCGGGTTGGAAATTTTCTCGACTTCCCTGGGCATAGAGTATCATTGTGCTTGCCACACAATATACAAATTCATGCATTGGTATTGGCATCGAAAGCTCTCAATTAATAACTGTGGAAGTGCATTTAGAACACTAAGTTGAGAGCACGCAAAAAGCTAATATCCACTAAGCAATAAGCTTGAAATGCGAATAAGAAAAAGAAGAAGCAGTTGACTTTCTGAATAGCTTGAACTATGTAACCTAGAAAAAATATCATTAGTGTAAAATAAACCTTTGTTCAAGCAACAACCATCAATCTGCATAACCAGAAGAGCGAAATAAAGTTCGGGAAACCGGAAGAAGTTGTTAGAAGTTTGAAACGCTTGAAGAATCAACGGAAATCGGAAGATTTCTTTACTGAAGCAAGAGGTTGGCTATCAGTGCGAAAAAGGCTGGAATCGTCCAGTTTGCAGGAACAATATCCGATACGTGGAAGTTTTGGGTCGAGACCCAGCTAGCGGCTCGCGATGTCCGGGAGATTCTTTCGATCGATGGACCAGCGGAAAGGGTGAATGAAGAAGTCGAGAAGGTCTTCAAGGAAAAGGACGACAAGGCGAAGGCATTGTTGGTTACTTTTGTCGCGGATAGCAACATGGAATATGTCCGGGACAAGCAGACAGCAAAGGTCAAGTGGGAGTCCCTGTCAAATACATTCTCCAATAAGGGATTTGCGTCTCAAACGTATATTCGGCGATCCCTGGCGTTGCTGCCGATGGACCAAGGAACTGCGCTAATGGAACATTTTCGGTCTTTTGACGAGCTCGTACGACAACTGAACCACAGACAAACAGACGTAACTCTTTAAAAAACTTGTTCTTGAAAACATAGTATCTCAAAACATATAACTTCAGTAACGACATCTATCTGGCTTCTCGCGGAAAACAAGCTTGCCCGCTAACTCGTAAACAATATTGCATAAAATTTCTATAGAATATATAGAAACGTCAAAGTGATCCGATGCCAGCGCTGCGGCGAGTAGTTCGCGGAACTGATAATATTCAAATCAACCGTTAAATGCATAAACGAAGATACACAATGAAGAGTTACGTCTGTTTGTCTGTGACTGAACATTCAGGCTCAATGAGTCATTTTCATATGAATATGAACAGCCATCCGCCTCATAATTCACTGCTTCGTGGGAGTTTGAATGGTTGGGAGGTAAACGAACTACTGACAGACGAGCACTCAGTCCAGCGTTGCCAGATTATTTTCAAGCGGTGGAGGCGAACCAGCCTAAGGCTGAAAACCTCCTAAATTAAGCTAAATAATAATAATATTTTCAAGCTTACCGGTATCAAATCGGTATTTACCGGTATTCACTATTTTAATTAATTTTATATTTTTGCCTTTTTTGTGGACAAAAATTAAAAAATTTGGACTAAGAACGAAGTTGTACGTCGGAAAAAAATCCAGGAATATTTAAATTAGTCTCTTAATGATATCGACAAAACTTCTAGAGAATGAATAAAGAAGATCTTGTGGTCCGATGAGGATCTTCCAAGACAAATATAGAGAAACTTCTTGTGAAAACTTTAGAAGCTTTCGGTAAAAAAAAATCAGATAACACACCGAGAGGAAACCAGAAAAGTTTTGGAAATTGGAAGGCAATTCCAGGGGAAGTCATAAGAAGCTCGAAAAAAAAAAACTTCCAATAGAAGTCGGAAAAACCTACCGAGAATGACATATGGAGAAACTTCCAGAGGATGAAAGAAACTTCTGGGAGAACTTCCTGTAGAAGATCGAAGACTCTTTTTGGAGGCGCTGGGAGAAACTTTCTAATGTAGATTGGAAGAAACTTCTGGAAAAGGTGAAAGCCAGAGAGCGCAAGATACTTCAAGGAGAAATAAGGAAAAAATCTGGATGAAATAGATTTCTGGGTGATGTTAACAACATTCTCTGAAGTTCCTTACATGCTCAAATGTTCCAGCAGTATTGCTAAAACATTCCTGAAACCCCACAATTTCTCTGAAATTTTCAGAACATTCCTGAAATGCACTTCGGAAAATCCCTTAATTTCTTGGAACCCCTTGAAAGTTCTTGCAATTTTCCAGAAGTTAATGGGGTTGTTTTGAAGTTTACAAAGTTTTCATGAACCTCTCGGAACTTTGCTGAAGTTTTTGGAAATTCCCTGAGTTCAACGGAACTCCTTTAAAGGTTCAGAAATTTGCAGTAATTGATGTGTCTTGATTGTCTCAGAACATTCCTAAAGTTATCTCAATTCTTCCGAATGGAAGTGTCCTGAAAACCATTGAATTTCCATGAAGGTTTTTTTTTTGAATTGTGATGTTTCCAAAATATTTCAGATGTTTCCATTAGTTCACTGGAGTTCTCTGGACTTTCCTAAAATTCCTGGGTTCTCGAATTTTAACAGCTGAAACTGCCTTTAATTTATCGGAACTTACCACCCTTACATATTTTTAAATTTACCCAAAAGTCCGAACTATTCTGAAGCTTCATAAGTTCTGAAAAAATCCTACAGGTTTCCTGAAGCTAATGGAACTATTATAAATCTCTGGAAGCATTCCTGAAGTTCCTGGGAAGTTGAAAAAACTGACGGGATAATACGAAGTAGAAGGCGACCTGTGGACCCTTCGCAGACTACGAGGCTGACGACGTGTGGCCATGCTCGATCTATGGAGAGCGGAGACGACTTCTTCGGACAGCAGAGGACAACAAGGCGTTAGCCTGATTGATTGGTAAGGTAAGGGAGAAGACGAAAGAACCTTTCAAGGGCAACCAGACGAAGCATCCAAGGGAAAGTTGAAATAGATTTCCGAAAGGAATTGTAAAATAATTTACAGGGTAAGGTGGGCGAACATTCCTAGGGAAAGTTGGAACAAACTTCAAGAGATGAAAAGAGAAATTTCAGGAAGTTGAAATTCCGATGGTAATATTCTGTTTCTGCAGGTTATTACACTATTCAATATCCAAACAGTCCAACATGCTTTTCTTCTGCAAGAAATCCCTCAACTATTGATTTGGTCTTAACTGATGCATGTCAACTTTGTAGCCAATTGGGTACCCATGCTGACTTCGGTTCTGATCACCTTCCAGCAACTTTTGAAATATCCCAAGAAATAATTTGTAATCCCAACAGCTCTATTTTAGATTACCATTGAGCTGATTGGGAGCAATATAGAACATTTATGGAATATAACTTCGACCCAAACATTTCTTTGCAAACCAAAGATGAAATTAATTATGCTCTTGAATCTCTGACTACTTCTATAGTTGAAGCAAGAGCTGCCTCAGTACCAAAATGCGAGGTTAAATTCGATTCAATTATAATAGACGACGATCTTCAGCTCTTGATCCGTCTTAAAAATGTCCGTAGGAGACAATATCAAAGAACACGCGATCGTGCCATGAATGTAATTAAAAAGCGATTCTCTGCCCTGAGGAACAAAACTTTTGAAAATAATGTTTTGGAATTAGACCCGAGTTCCAAACCCTTTTGGAAACTCACAAAAATTTTGAAAAAACCTCAAAAGCCTATTCCAGTGCTTAAAGAAGGTGGTAAAATTTTGATCACAAATTTGGAAAAAGCTCAGAAACTTGCTAAGCAATTCGAGAGTTCCCATAATTTCAGTTTGGGTCTTACTAGTCCTATTGAGAATCAGGTTGCTCGGGATTTTCTGAATATTTTCTCTCGGGAAAATATTTTTGATGATTCCTGGGGGACTGATTTGGACGAAGTAAGGTCTATAACTAAAAAGTTTCAAAATATGAACGCTCCAGGTGATGATGGAATTTTCTATATCCTCATCAAAAAACTCCCAGAGGGACACGGTCGAATTGTCGATTCCAAACTCTTTCGCGATCCACCTGTGAGACTGGCCTGGATTTTCCACGACCACTCCCATCTCGATAATCACTTGACAGATTGTGACGAGATTTTGCATCTGTAAACATTTCATTTTAAACTAGTTTTACTTAAAATTTCATCAATTTTTACCCATGCAAGAAAAAGTTATGCACAAAAGAAAGTGTTGCATTTTTTTTCGAGTACAATATTTAAGCTGGTGTATTCCATCGAATGTAGGGGAAATGTATGTAATGTCGGCCTAAGTGTCCCTAATTTGGGCCCATACATAAATTCAGCAATCGACTAAATTTTCAATAGCAGCCAAAACTATCCACTAGTACTGTCGCGTTCATCTAGATACAATTGATAAATAGCAGATTTTTAGAGATGGGCCCAATCTTACATCCATAGGCCAACATTAGAGCCAGTTCCCTGAATTAATTCTGACGTTAAGTAGCATTTCTTGTATTGGCTGCACTTGGAATTTAAAGTACCAGCACGGCATTTAACA